CCCCAAAACCCCAAAACCCCAAAACCCCAAAACCCCAAAACCCCGGTACTTTAAAATAATATTGAACTAGGAATAATAAAATGAGGATTAGCCAACTTATTACAGTCCTCTTGGTCCTATGGATTGGAGTATCCAGTGCCAAGTATACTAATGTTGAGATGATCAGAGACCTAGCCATCGGTTCATGGAGAGTATTCACTGGACTTGTTGAGGATCTTTATTATAAAACTCCTGAAATTACCCCAGATGCTTATAAATCGCCTGCTGAGTTCTATCAAAGCTATGGCTACAGGTTCGAGGAGCATAAGGTTGTTACAGAAGATGGGTATATCCTAAGTGCCTGGAGAGTTCCAGGGAAACTGAATGAGTCTATGAAAACAGTCAAAGGAAAGCCTGCTGTCATGCTTCAGCATGGTCTCCTTGACAATAGTGGCACTTTTACAGTTGGTTTCTCCAACCAAAGCCTTCCATTTCTTTTAAATGAAGAAGGCTACGATGTATGGATTACCAACACAAGAGGAAACTTTAACTCTTATGAGCACACTAATCCATTTGAGTACTCAGTGTTTGATATCCACAGTAAATATTGGAACTTTACTTTTGATACCATGGGGTATTATGACCTTCCTTCAAATATTGACTACATCCTTGACTACACCAACAACGAGAAGCTTACTTACATAGGCCATTCTCAAGGAACAGTTCAGTTCTTTGCAGGGAACGCCTTGAAAAATGTTGCTTCCAAGGTTGACGCTTTTGTAGGACTAGGGCCTGTAATGTTTGCTGGAAATCAAAGATCGCCTCTTTGAACACTCCTTAAAGCAACTGGACTAAGCACTCTCTTAAAATGGTTTGACTTTAACAATCTCTTGATCTGGCCAAGAATTGTTAATGTGAGCTTGAAGTCTGTCGTCAAGCCTCTGAGGAAAACGATATTAAGATTCATTCAAATGATCGTAGGAATTAAACAGGAAATATCAGTCGACCTCAGTAGAATGCCAGTTATGGGAAGACACGAGCCAGGAGGCACAGGTCTCCAAAACATGCTGCATTGGCTCCAAATGATTGATTCAGGAAACTTCCAGAGATACGATTATGGTAAAAAAGAAAATATGAAAGTCTACGGACAAGAAACAGCTCCTCTTTATGACCTAGAAGTTTTAAAAGAAAACATCAAGGATTTAGATATGTTCCTAATTAAAGGAGGTATTGATGTCTTTGTAGCCCAGGAAGACTTTGATCAGCTCCTTAATGTCCTCAGCTTTAAGGAAGGAAAGACTCTAAAGCATAAAATTGTGGAGGATTATGACCATCTTGACTACATCTGGGCTGATAGTGCTTACGAAGAAGTCTCATTACCAGTCTTAGAGTTCTTACGCAATAAAAGGAATAATCAATAGCTTCAATGATTGGATAATATCTAGGGGTTTTGGGGTTTTGGGGTTTTGGGGTTTTGGGG